TTTTCATCGAGAAATGGGTCTAGCCTAAAGAGTGAGCTGGTGTGCTTTAGCTTTTTGTTTCTGGTGTGGGCATTCTGGCGGTTGTGGAACATGCGATCCTCACCACTTAGGTTTTGTAGTACTTGGATCTCCTCTTTAAAATTCCAGAACTGAACGGATTTCAAGAATATTTCTTCTGCCAGGCACATTTCTTTCACCATAGGGGGTCCTGAAACAGGTCTCCAGTTGAACTGCTGATTGGGACAATTCCTTTCAATCATTCTTTGAATAAGCACAATGTTCCTTTTCAGGGGACTAAGAGATGGTGAGTGGTTGAAACGTTCCTGTTCCAAGACTTTTGGAAAGGTGTTTGGCTCTTTCCCTTGACATGAGACTTTGTTTGAGATAAGGGCAACAGATTTTTCTTTCCTGACTTCTGCATCTTCAGGGTCCAAATAGGGTAGTGGATTTGAGTTCAGTATTGTAACATTGTTCTCCCATAGGAAGCTTGGGCCTTTGAACCATGATTCATGTTCTGAAAGTTGCTTTGGAGTTGTGCCTCATGAGGCGATGTCAGCTGGGTTGATCATACTGGCGATGTAGTGCCATCCCATGTGGAAATCTTATTAAGATCTTACTAAGATTCTTATTAAGACTAAGAATCTTATTAAGATCTTACTAAGATTCTTATTAAGACTAAGAATCTTGACAAGTATCTTAGTGAGAAACTTACAAGAATCTTGACAAGTATCTTAGTGAGAAACTTACAAGAATCTTACAAGATCTGGTAAGATTCCTGTGGAAAGAATTTTAATTAAATACCTTTTACAAGTTTTCACAAGAACTTGCTAAGATTCTCAACAATATCTTAAATGATCTTCAAAAGAACTTCAAGATCTTATAAGATTCTTAAAGAACTTTTAAGAATGTTTGCAGAATCTGTTTAAATTAGTAGATATCATAAATTTTTTTTCAGACCAATTTGCGGATAAAATATAAAGGTTTATGCAATACGTAATAACTAGATGAGTGAGGAAAGGAGATCACAGCCAAGAAAGAATTTATTTATCTAACATCTACGCAAAATTTATTGCAAATTCTCAACACTGTGAAATTAATTTCTAACAAAGATCTTGATAAGAAACATTAACTGTTGAACTTGTTTGATTTAAATGACAATTTGATTTAAAGTATCATTAATCCTTGCACAAACAAGCCATTATATCTAAAGAAAAAACACTTCAAACAGCACTATAATTATACATTTTCCACTTCAAAAATTTGCTAATATATTTAAGCAAAAGTAGCAGCAAGACAAGGATAAAACTTTTTCTATCAAATTGAATTACTGTATTAATAACTCAAAAAATTTGACAGCTATTTTCCCTTAATGATCAAAAACAATGATTTGTGATACTTGTTTTGGTTATTTTTTAGCGACTGAATTAGAAGAATTGTTGTATTTAGAAATACAGAACGCACTGCAATACTATGAATTAAAGCTCGGTTTCCATTTTTACAAAAGCACACCCACTCCCTAAAACCAGCACTGGCAAAAGCAGTAACAAACACTAAAAAATATTGTCCATGTCTCAAAAGCTTGAGTGCTAACCTTAAGGGTGGGGACATGTCTCAGTTTGCAATGGCTTTTCTTCTTTTAGAGTAATTTAAGTATGAAGACAAAACAAAAAAAAAACTTTTTGTACGAAAGCAAAGGTGTTCAAAGAATTAAAGCTCACTATCACTCATCTTAATTAGCATTTGACCATTAATTTGCATATATTTCATTTTTGTATAAACATCAACCAAGCCTTAGATCATTCAGTCTGTGGACTTGTCAACATCTCCCTCCACAATGAGACATTTTCTCTTGGAATCCAAGAATTTTTTTATTCAAGGATTCTTATTTGAGGCCACTTCTTGTTCATTTGGGCATTGCCAAATTTATGTTTTATAGCTCCTATGGGAAGGAAAAAAATATATATATATATGTATGCCACACACATAGAGAAAACAGAATAGAGAAAACAGAAATCGTCTTATTTTCTACCAGTCCATATTTATTGCCTTCCTGCTCATGGCTTGATTAACAGAAACTCTAACACATCTTCAGTGCTTTGCAAACTTTCCAAGTACTTCATAATTCTCAGTGACTGCATGCTAATGCAGAAACCAGTTGTTAATTTATGGCCCTAGGTACTGTCCAAATAAATGTGACTGGCTACTCAAAGCTTAAAGGATAACAGGTGTTAATTTGTTTCCTTCTAGAGCCAGCTTCTTTTTAATGACAGCCTTGGCAATATTACTTTGTGTGCAAGAGAAATGACTAACCCTGATTCAATTGTGAAACAAGAATTTTCTAAGTACATATAAGAACAGCAACAAAGCTGATTGTTGAAATCTCTGTTTTTGTTTTGTTTCTTGGTATGCTTTTCTTTGAAAAAACTAACTAGTACACAATAAAACAAATTACATTGGCTTACTTTTTAGTAGATCAACTCTGTAAGGGTCCAACTCCACCTTCCCAGTAGCCTTCCCTCTGGCAGGCTCTACAATGCCATTTGCCATCTCCTCAAGTGAGAAGAGATTGGCAAAAACCTTGAGAGCATATTTTTTTAAATCCCCACCAGAGGGGAGTAATAGGAGGTTGGTTTCATTGTACATCTAAAATGAAATATGACATATTGAGAGACAAGTATCAAGATTGGAAAAAATAACCATCTGTGTTTAAATAAGTATCATCGTCTATTGTCTGCAATAAAATTGTTGCTCTTAATAATTGTGACTTAATTCCAGCTTGCAGTAGCCTGACTAGTGAAGTGCACTTACTAAGGAAGGTAGAGGGGAGGAGCTTCTCAATTGTTCTCCTCATCACCATCATGCCTCATCTGTATGTACAGAAAAGGAGGTAGTGACCATCTTTAACAAGAATTTACTTATTTATTATCTTTAAGAGCAAAGTTCTTATGCAAAGGTTACCTTTTATGAAAATTGGCAATTTTCACTGCCCAACTTCAAACAAACTTTGTTCACCTTTTACACCATTGAAACAACTATTCAAAATTTCCACAAAAAGTTGATAAATGAAAAATTACCTTTTTACTATCAGGAGGAGTTGCCACCCTTGTATCCCATTCTGTGCTTGTGACATTTAGATGAGACTCAGTGAAGTCTACTTTATTCAAGATACAATCAATTTTTCTGGTGATCACATCTCTCCAGTTGTCCTGTGAATATGAATAGAAAAAAAATGTTTACATTTGTAAAGCAATCCTTCAACTAAATAAATTGTCATTAACCTTAAAAAGAACCAAAAATTTGTGAGAAAGGAAAGTAAGGAATCATAATTCAGCACTAAATGAAAATCAAAGTAGA